TTTTTTCCCTTTGATAGTAACCACCACATACTCATAAAGGAAAATTAACGTCAATATGAAGAAAAATGAAACATGATTTTGAAACTTCTAGCGCCTGCTTCTTCACAATAAGGAGCAGACGGATTTTATTTCCTTACGTGTTACCACACTAATTTCATTACCACCTTTTTTTTCTTTGATAGTAACCACCACATCCTCATAAAGGAAAATTAACATCAATATGAAGAAAAAATGAAATATGATTTTGATACTTCTAGCGCCTGGTTCTTCTAAATTTATAATATCTTTGTGGATTTAAGCTGCTCTGTTGAAGATCCAACTAAATGGAATAGTTTGTCTTTTCTTCTTGGCCCTTTTTTCAGCTCTCTCCTCCAGCCTTCTAAGTCTCCGTGGCAAATGGTCGCACACAAATTCCTGAGCCTCCTGCCCTTCAGCTGAAAGTCCAGTAAGATCCTTCACTTTCCACTTCTCCACCAGGACATCCAATATATCAATATAATCGCTGAAAGCATAAACCCCAACACTTCCTGCAACAGCTGAGAAGTGCATGAAAAGGTTGTTGTCGTGGCCGTCATACATCAACTCCCCTGGCATGGTGATTTTCCTCCACATCATGTAGGCAAACGCCTGGACAATTCCGTCGGGATCCAGCTCGAACAACTTTCCTACTAACTTACTGTATGCAGTCTCGTGGCGCTTTTCGTCTGCGGCAATGGTGCCGCAGATTTGAGATAATTTCAGGTCTCCTTTCTCCTTGGCCAGCCTCCCCATGTTCCCATGGGAGATAGCGGTTGCCCTCTCTTGAAACGACGTGTAAATGGGCAATAGATAAGGGTCGTTTCCTATGCCAGTATCCTGTAAAGCAAAAATTAATTAAGGATAAAAAATCATCTTCAAAGTATATGTGCAGTTTTCTAAAAAATGCTTCTATCAATTGACAAGAGAAGAGAGTCTTACCATTCCAGATCCTATTAGATACTGCACTGTCTTCTCAACTTGCCTCATGTCTACTCGTCCAGAGAGATAGAGATACCTGTTGAGAAGATCACCGTGTCGGTTCTCCTCAGCCGTCCATGACCTCGTCCAAATTGACAAAGGATTGAGGCTGACCCCTGTTTCATCTTGAGCTCCCTCAGGCCTATTGGCCATTGTTTGGTATGTTGGGAGGGCTTCCTCCGTAATCATATTCCCTACAAGCACAACGAAATATTCATCAGGAATTTCCTTAACTCTTTCTCTTATTTCCTTGATTTGCTCTATGAATCCATCGGAAGCAGGATCTGGCAGAAAATCCTGGGGTTGCCAACACTTTTCGACCGGTTTCAGATGAATCAAAAGATTCTTCTCTGACCAATAATCATCCAAAAATTTGAAGATTTCAATCTTTTCCGGTGACAAGCATGGCTTCTTGATGACGAGTTTCCTATCTTCCCTGCACAAGAGAATTTCGGTTGGTTTTCTTACATTTTCATAGAAACGAGGACAAAAAAGATCAAAAACAGTACTTCGGAGATGTAATGCATGTAAATTTAAAAGATTAGCCTAAGCTT